GCTATTTGAAATGTTTAATGTCACGATTATGTACGAACGTAGCTCTATGTGAAAACTGGCGATAACATTGCAGATTCAGTGAATCCTTTTCGTAGGCAAAGGCATATAACGTATATCAGTAAGAAATTCCCCGTGTATGTGATAAGACCCACACAAGATAAAACCAAACGTTAGATTCACCGGACCCTGAGGCAGGTTTTTTTTTTTTTTTTTTTTGGGGGGGGGGGGGGGGAGTCCGTTTCTCAATTTGTATGATCAACTACTGGGTACATATTTTAACTGCTTCAGAAAATAAATAAAGTCCTTTAGAAATTGCTGACCTCAGTAAATTCCCTAATATTACTTTGAAAAATATGGCAAGATTTTCAATATGCCAGTGTTGTCGAGATACCACGTTAAAGAGGGCATGCATGACTCTTTTTTGTCTGCAGCTGTATACATTTAAATGTTATAATGCATTTCAAGCACGTTGTCAGCTCATATTCAATTGGAACAGGACTTTCTATAGGCCTAACCACCCAGAAAATTCATTTGGTTACATTTTTTTTTATTTCCAGCGAAATGGCCGTGTGGTTATGACCGCCAAGCATGCAGTGCCCAGGAGTATGTACAAGGCCATTTCGTTTTTCCTGGAGACTGTAGAAAATACTTTGTCTGTGCACAAAACAGAGACCGTAGAAGCTACTCCTGGAAGGAACGTAGATGTAAGGGGCAGTCCGCTTTTATCATAAGCCATAGCAACTATAGAGGGAGCTGTAGGCAGGGTTTTAGATGCAGTCCCGTGACTTGTGTGACGACGACATCAACATCAACAACAACAACAACAACTACAACAACAGCAGCAGCAACAACAACAATAACAACAAGACAACCAAGGACATCGGTTACAGTAACAGTACGTCCATCAACTACTTCAAGAGTTACAACAACTTTAGAAAGCACGGCAGCTTCAGCCGCAACCACCAGTATGTAGGCCTATCGGTATTCTGATATCTAGTTAGGATACGTGTGCGCATGTGTTACGTGAGGATTCGTGTGTTCTTAATATCAAAACACAAATGAAATCAAAATAAAATTGCATTTATGGCCCTAAGTAAAAGTTAATTGTGTCTTTATTTTACAGACAGATTCAATATCGATACTTTTTTTCAACGTACGGCTTTTGTTTGCCTATAATTGGTTTACTCATTTTTTTTTCAGTTTTACGTCATTAATGTTATTATAACAGTTTCAGAATATCATCCCATTACTTCACTTCTCCCAGGCATGCCTACAGCAGTGCCATCTGGCAACGAAACTACACCAGTGCTTACGTCAGATGACGTAAGAACGCCCAGCGCCGCCATAGTGGCCGGAGTACTGACCGCTTTCTTCCTTGCATTACTATCAATGTTTGCAGTGCTTTGGTGGAAAAAAGGAGAGTACGTCAAAAAGTAGGTGTTCATTTTGTGGTTTGGTCAGCCTAAATTGAGAAGTTGGTGGTCGAGCGCGACTAACACTTACCTTGAGGAACTCAGATTTTTTTTTTTTAATATTATTATTATTATTATTATTATGATGATGATGATGATGATGATGATGATGATGCACCTGTTTTTTTGTACGCATTAGGTATCGGATTTGAAGCTGGAGAAATTAACGATTGATCCCAAGAAAACGATAATGCTGTTGATTTATGTTCTAACCCCCCCCCCTT